GAAGATTCATTTTCCTACAACATTTGTTTTCAATCAAAAAGTATGTACATACATAAATACACATAAATTAGCCCTCTAGTTTGGACGTGCAACAGATGTTCACGAAGGGCATCTAACAGAACGCTATACGAGTCCTATCCATGCTTCAAAATAGGATGCTGACCATGTCAGACACACATGCTCGCCTATGGCTTGCTTGTACAATGGATGCATGCAATTCAGAAAAAAGCTGATCATGCAATTTTTTTAAAGAATCAGTTGTAGCAGGTAAGCCATGAGGATATCGAATCTGCAGCACTTTGACCGATAACAGACAGCAAAAATTTTCTCGCATTACCTTGATAAAACCAAGGTTGATATAATTCCTAACAATAGCCTGTAGAACTGAAATCCATAAATATGAATTTGTGATTCAAGTGAATGGACACGCCAATGATCAGTAGGGTAGCCCTGAAGGCGAGGAAAAAGACAATCATATGAGCAACCCTTGTTAACCTTTTGTCGTGAGTTTTCCCAAGGCTCTTTGCATCAGTCTCAGACCATTAAATTTTTTGGTCACTGCGTCACAAGACATGGAAGTATGTAGAGCAAACCCGAGTTCTACATCTTTTTACCATCTCATACGAAAAATAGACCTATTGAAGTTCTAACGCACTGCCCATAAGAGTATTAAAGAAGTATTCTGAACCACCTCAAGAACCTTGCTTGAAGGATCATTTCCCAGGTTGTTTAGTCACTTAAACTTACTTCCATGCTTTTTCCCAAATAAAATTGCAAGCAATGAACTCTTCAACTAAAGTGCCATAAAATCGAAGCAATGCCAAAACTAAAAAAAGGCTCTGGTAATTCAAATTAGACTTCAGCAATAAACAAAAAGCATTATGCATCTAATACATTAACAGTGAAAACAAAGTCCTCACCGGATCAATGCGACACTCGACGGCAGGGATGGGGTTGGCTGGAGGTACAGGCAGAGTGTTCACTCCATTAATCCTGTTGGAATCCTTGACAAGCTTCTTCCACGAAACTATGGTGGTCTCTCCCGGTCGGAGCTCCACAGTGAACATTTGCCGGTCCCCCGATTTCAGAAAGGAAGAAGAAGCTCTGGACAAATCACCAGAACCACCATTCCCAGTGCGAGCTCCACCGCCGGCGCCGCCACTAAATTTTTCCTCCTCCATGGAATTACAATGACCGGTTCGACGAATTTAGGGTTGCTCAATCAGAAATTAAAGAATCGAACCGCTGAAAGCACAAATGGAGGGACATAACCCTCTGTAGAGGAAACCCAAATCGAATGAGAGAGAAATTGAGAGGCGGTAGAGAATTTAGAAGGTTGAGTTTGTTAACTGCACATCGAACTGAGGCTTATAAATGGTCTCATTGTTCGTTCCAGAGAAGCTTTGAGACTCTAGGAGGAGGGAACGAAAGAGACGGACGGGTATTCGGCCGGTTAGGTCCGCACCCGAGTTCAAAGTTGCCTCTTTTTTTTATTACAATTTTTTTTTTTTTTCTAAAAATTAGAATTTAGTCTTTTATATTTTAAATATTATAATTAATTCATAGAATTCTATAAATAAAATCATAAAACTAAATTGTGGTATAATAATTTGGGTAGGTCTATTTTTTAATTCTTATAAACTTCATTTCAACTTGTATTAAAACTAAAAAATATGTAAAAAAATGTTTACGGATATCGATGTCAAAAATCCAATGTTGCCGTGCATCAATAGATAAAATATATATTACGTGATCACAATTAAAAGTTGAGAAACTCGAGCTCGAGTTTTAGAAAATGTTCATATTTCATGTTATATGTTTGAGAGACTGTTAATTGATACAACTCTCTTGCTCTAGTTGTTACTTTTGACATAAGTGTTACATACTCTCTCACTAAATTTACTTTTTCCTTTATCTTGAACCCGATTATACGATAAAACGTCATACTCGAGTATTGATAGCAATGACCTAAATCGATATACAAACGCTGGTATTGAGCTCGTATGAGAAGAGATGCGTGACCTTAAAAAAAGGTTGTACTATTTCATACCATATACGTGAAAATGAATATTTGATAGACATGGTTTAAAAGAGCCGCCCATACTTTTTAGAGGATATTTTATATATATATCTGATTTAATTTTAAATATAATTTTTATTTAATTCTATGTTTCAAAATGTTGCATTTTTATTAATTAATGTAATTATTTTAGTTAATTATAATTAAATTAGTTTCCACTAAAATTTTATCACTATTTTAATTGATTAAAAATTATATATTATAATTATTTTTAATTATGTAATTTAAAACTATGACTAAATTTAAACTATATTCAAAATTTAGAAATTAAAAAAAATTATTAAAAATTACAAACAAGAAAAAATATTTCTCGTTCTTGTCATCATTTAGTTCGTGATTTTTTTTCTTTCTCTACATTACTTTTTCCCATTCCTGACTCCATTAGTAAGGCTCTATATATGACCCGTACCCACGAGATACATAAACGACATCAATGGATAAGTCCCCACATCTCACAACTCAGTCATTCTTGTTGTAAGTACACGTAAATAACTAAAGTATTGTTTATAGATTTCTCTTGTAGATTGTTTCTATGAAAATGCATGTTCCGTTCAACATTTTTAGTATTTAATCTCACACGAAATACGACGATGTTAATAATTAGCTCAAGTTAACGACAAAAGCAAACGATGTTACGTGTTAAACAAGGACGTTTAAGCATATGACGTAGCTTTCTCCTTTCTCGAGGTATCAACTTCGTTGAATTCAACATAAAAGGTTTAATTTATAGTGGATAAGGGAATAAAAGTGTACAAACTTGAATGAGAGTGAATATATTCAATAAAAAAAACTTAACTATAACGATTTAAATTAGAAACTTAAATTCATATGTAAAGCAAAACATACCGAACATGAATAAAAACAAAAATTGTAGAGGTTTAAGAAAAAACAAAACGATTTAAATAATACTTGTAAATAAACGTTGTCGTTTATAGTTTTCATATAAAAAACACGTGAATAAAATAAGATTATAATTGTGACGTTTTAAATTATAAATTAAATTTGATTTTTATATGAAAACAAATTTTCCTTAAAAAATCTAATTCACAAGAATCTGTGACGAGATCCCTATATATAATTTTTTTTTAATGATAATGTAAATTAAAATAGGAGGTGGAGACGAAAACAAAAGAGGCTTCCATGTCTTTGCCCTAACCCATTTTTATTAATTATGTTAATTTTAATAAAATATTTATGAACTTTGTTATTTATTTAAAATATATCCGTGTATTTTTTAAACATGTAATATTATTGTTAAGTTTTATAATGGTTTACCATAAATCTTTTAAAATATTAGACGAAAAATGGATATGCGCGTTGATAACTAAAATATTTATTTAAATTAAATTTTAAAAAAATATTAAATATGCTCACTTTTCATTTAATATTCTAACAAAATTATATATATATATATATAATATAATATAATATATTTTTTTAACAAAAAAAATAATAATAAAAAAAAAAAAAAAAAAAAAA